GCCTGCCTCCTCTCTTCTTATGGGCTTCCGAAGGCAACGTTAGGCATTTTGGCTCGGCTTCAAACGCTCCCCAGAGCCTCACCGCAGCCTTGCCCTCTTCTCGGCAGCTGGTTGAATGCCAGCATTGGTGTGAAGCCCATCCAAGTCTCGCTGTTGAATCCCAGGAAGTTGTCAAGGTTCAACCGGCAAACCCTCGAGATGAAAAGGGGTCGGCGGCACCCGGGCGGAGCCCTTACAATATATATACGGACAATTACGGTACTTCTCGGAACTGCACCGGACAAATTGCAGCTCCATGAAGTGGAGTTGGGTGCTTCATGTGGTGCCCCCAGTCACATCCGGTAATGGGACTCAAAACCCACTCCGACATGGAACTGTTATCCACTTTGTTCGATCCTCCGATTGGTCACAGATCACAATTGACTGACCACGAAAAACCGGGCCAACTGTCAGGTGCCTTCCGGATGCCTTCCGTCCAGGTGACAGGCGAAGGATGGGTTTCTGATTGAGGAAGCCCTGCAGCTTTTCGTCTCAGTCTCTTAACACCACCAACCGGGTGCATCAAACCAACACCACCAACCGGCACCGGACACTCCAACCGCCGCGCGCACCGTTGGCGCGCCCGTTCCGACCTTGGCCTGGAAGGCCGAGGGATACCTGGCGCGGCCGAAATGGCAGCATCGAGTGATCCCCGGGTTGTCTCAAGTCCTTTTTCGACCCCAAAAAACAGTGAAGGGAGCCGGATGTTTTTGAACATCCACTCGTGCACCGGTGACGGTGAAAAGAAGAAAACAAAACCAACCAATTGAGATGTTGAAATGGAACAAATAGAGCTGTTCATGAGCTGTCCATGATCCATTGGATGGGTCTACAAAAAAACAACTTGGAACTTCTGAAATCACAAGATGTTCATAGATTAGCTCCTCCACTCTTATCCTCAACTGCCGCCTGGGGAACCCCCCCAGTCGCGACTTGTGCTCGTGCTCGCTCGCGCCGCTCGTGACGTTTTCATCGCTTTTTTCGGGCACCAGGCACCTTGACATGAAGGCATTGAGGAGATCATGGTCCTTCACCGCGAAGTCGAGGCCGCCCACATAGATCTCAAGCAGCGCGTCTTCATTGGCAGAACGGCGGAAGCGAGGGTTTCCAGAACGGGAGGTCCAACCGCTGGAGTTGTTCTGGTTGAGATCTTTGGTTTCTTGATGTTGATTCAAGTCCTGCTTTGTAGATACATGTTACGAGTAGCTTTGATATGACATTGGCAAGCAGAAAACACCTGGGCCAGCAGCAAGGTGTCATCTCTCTTTGACAGGTGATCAGAAGAGCGGCTGCTCGCTCTCGCAGTGCTTCTGAGTAGCATCAACAGCAGCCTTTGATGTGGGTCAGGTTGATTACTGAACATTTTCCAGACATTCCATGTTTGCCATATAATATATGCCTACATTGAACCCCCAAACCACGCCAATGTAGGCATATCTGGCATGCCTGAAGTGTCTGGGTATTCACATCGAATTGACGGAAGTTCTTTTGCGAAACTCTGGCTGTAGCACAGCATCCGAACATATCCCCAGAGTTTTTGGAGGAGGGCGGACGTCCATCACCTTTCCGACGTTTGATCTCTTTTGGTCAGGTCTTGAAAAAAGACGAACATGGGGACGGCACAACGTTTCAGTCACCCGTTGGACGACTTCATGAAACCACCATTCGATTCAAGGTTGCATCGGTTTCGGGATTCACAACGAGGCATCCGTTGTAGCATCCGTTGGATCCTGGTCGTTAGGCCACGCATGCGAAGACAGGGAAGTTCAACGACTGCCGCCACGACGACAAGCGACCCCGACTGACACTATGACCACCACCACCACCACCACGACGACGACGGCGACGGCGACGGAGTCTAGCTACTAGCTACTACTTCTACTTCTGCTGCCACTCTAACACTTCTCTTCTTATTGACTCGACATTGGATCTAAACCCTCGACACTGGAGACCCGGGCCGAATACTCCGTGCCACGCGAAGCGCCACTGCCATTGCGATTCGCGAGGTTGGAGTCGTTCACAGAGAACCTGGGCGATGAAACGGTGTACAATCAACATGACACGATTTCTTTATCATGCTGTACCAGGAGTCGCAAAGGGGTGGTGAGTGGATAATGGGCACACATGCCACGAGAAGACCACAAAAAACCAGCAACGGTTAGCTCTTGTCTTGCTCCTGACCCGTGCCGCATGATCCGCATGCGGCCGAGATGCGGTACCAAAAGGGCTGAACTCAGACCCCAGTAAGCTGAGTGTTGTTTTTGAGCTGTTCCACGTTCTCCTTGTCTTTTGAATGTTTTGAATGTTTGAGCTGTTTGCTGTCCAACCTGTTTTTGGAGTTTCAACATTTCAGGCGTAAAGCGTAAGGACTGCTCGTAAGGGAAGGGTCATAATATTTGAAGCGAACTTAAAATGACACTTTGTCCAACTATACAAGATATATGAAACTATAAATATATGAATGTTTGCGAATTCAACCATATTATCCTTGTTCAAACTCAAACATCGACGCGTCAGCTGATCCGTTTGCCGCTACTGGAACATGTTGGAACATGTTGGAACCTCCAAACCCACTTAGAGCACCTAAGCTGATGTCGAACCCATTGATCATTGATCTTGGCATCCGGTGTTCGTATTCTTTGGTTTAGACATTCACATCCCATTCGCGAACTCTTTGTGTCGTGGATACCAGGGATCCATCCGTGGCGATGATTCTAGTAGATGAGACTGCCATTGACCCACCATGAGAGGATGCGCGTCCGTTGCTGCAAGGCTACCGACTGAGCCGAAGCCTCTGCGTCGAGGCTCAAAAATAAGGGAAACGCCGCGCAAGCGCGGCCGCGGCTCCCGAGGCTCCCGACTGAGCCCAGTTCACGCGGAAGTTGAATCCTGAACACGGAAGGCGGATGAAGGCGGCATGTTCCATGCGAAGCGTATCTCGTGTTGTGGTCGTCGTGCCCTTGACTGTGCGGAAACTCCACGCCAACAGGGGTTTTTGAAAGCTGTTCTTTGCAATTGGCTGAACACTTGATGACTTGGCGACTTTTTTCAAGGCGCTTTTCAAGTGGTCATGAGCATTTGGGATACACCTTGACACAGAAGCTGAATTCTCAGCACTTCTAAAGGAAAGAACTCAGCCACCAGTGCCACCAAACGCCGGTAACCGGGATAGGCCGGTTCCCGCCGGTTCGAAGGCCCTGCGAGCCACCCAGACACACGGTTCTCGAAGCGCACGTGTCCGTGTAATGACATCAGCTCTCTGATTCAAAAGATATATAGAAAAAAAAAGTTTCAAATAGAGATAGAGCTGTTTATCTCTGGTGTTTGTGTTGTGTTTTGTTGTTGTTGTTGCTGTTTATCTCTGATTTAGAAAAATAATTGTTAACTCAGTCAGGCACCAAATTCATCGACCTCTGTCGGTCTCCGAGTCTTTACCCCGACGGCGGGCTCGACCGCCCAACGGTCGCGGTCGCCTAGGGCGTGGAAGGCTCTCCCTTCCAGGCGATCCACAGCATCCGCCACCTTTTTCGCGGAAGAGAACAGTGGCAGCGAGCCAGTAGGATCTTATGAAGTACATATATATAGATATCATAGGATCTAGCCAGTTTCATGGATACTATGGAATATCATAGAGTTTCCAAGTGTTTTGCAGATTGAGAGTAGATGGCACAGACCCCAAGAGGTGGTTAGGTGGTTTATATATGGACCCCCATCTAAAGGACATCATGGCGTGTGTGCCATCTACTCTGAAGCCACTGTATGCAAAATAAACATGCCTTTTCATTTAGAACACTGAAAGGCATGTTCGGCAGGATTTTTTTATAGTTCGATGTTCAGCAGGACTTCATAGATGGTATCACACGGGGTTGATCTCACCAGCACGTGCTGGACTGAAGAGACTGGTATGACCATGAATGGGCTCTCACCGGGATTCAGGACTGATTCAGGATCTCCATTGAGTACTTTAGATATTGGGCATTACCAGGGCCCAGTTGATGATGGTTGGCAAAGGCCTTGTTCCAAAATAGTGATGGCTCGTCCCCAAGACACTGAATCAAGTCAAATTTCAGTGAAAGGTTGTCCGGAGCATGTTGGCTTCCTATGGTTCGAGGGCAAGTTCTCTTGAAGTATCGAAATGGGCACGCCCCCCCAAAAAAAAGTGATGGATGAGAGAAACCAGGGTGTTAGCAGTAAGTAGAATCAACTTCCACCCTCAGCCCTTGCAAAAAAGAGCATGTTTCAGACCAGCCATCCAGGAGAAAAGACCTCCACCAATCCAAGCGGACTCCCATCCTTCTGATCTCCGGAGTCCATTCCTTAAGCAAAAAGATGTGATCCATCATGATCCATCCCTACTACTACCACCACCACCACCACCACTACTACTACCACCACCACTACTACTACCACCACCACTACTAAATAAATCTATATACTATATACTATACTACTACTGTACTACAAACCCCTTCGTTTCGTCCCACCTGCACACCAGTCTTCCACCAGAACACAAAACCACCACCAGCGCACCGGCGCACGGTCCGCGAACTCGACGAAGGCGAAGCCGCCTGCGTTCGGCGGTGCTCCGCGCTCGGCAGACACGGTCGGAGTGGTCGGTCGGTGTTTCCAAAGGCCATGCGGAGACGTGCCATACATGCTCTCTAGGGCTCGAAGTGGTTTTTGGACACTGTGCCTTTACTTGTGGGATGGTTCCCTATCTTTGAGCTGGCGAACTGGACCACCAATCCACTGGAAGTCCAACAGATCGAATGCCACCCACTCTCATCAAACTCGCTGTCTGTACCGTGGACCGCTGCACCAGCCGGTATGTAGCCCAACAGCTTCAAGTGGAGTGCCAGGGCTGTCAGGGAAATGCCCCGTGTTTTGAACCTCCCTTCACTGGCATGGCCCTCCCAAACTGGATTCGACGCTGCTGTCGGGAGTCCGAAGGGAAAAGGTAGTCAAGAGGTGTGTTTGCCACCCTGAGAGAGAAGAGATGAAGTTGGATCTTTCCCACTGCAGTTCTGTCCAAATCCTACTAGACATATCTAAAGACATTTGCTATTTGCATATCGTTGAAGGGCATCTCCCCAATATTCAACAGTTTAGGTTCTGTTTTACATGGTGGTCCAGCTCATTGCATTCGACCCGATCCCCGCAAAACACCATTCTTGGCGCACCCCGGCGACCCCTCCCGGCGACCCACCGTCGCTCGGAATGCGGCAGCTCACGGAACGGTTCTGGCCACTGAGCTCCCCAACCCGAGCTGGGCAGGTTGGTGCGGCGAACCAACTTGATCTGCGGGGACCGTGGGGGTTTTCCAACGCGGGTTCTTCAGAGAGACCCTCTGGAGGAGCCTTTTTGGGAGGAGGTTTGATAAGGTTTGATGCAGGGGGGTGGGGATGTTGAGTCGCTTTGAGCACAAGAGGTGCATGAAATGGATCTTTGGCTGGTTTGGTAGCTCCGAGCTTATTTGTAGCACTTCAGGAGGTCTCTGAAGGTCTTCAGTCAGGGGCAGATTCTTCACATCAAACCGGTCAATTGGCGTTGTGGATTCAACGAGCAAATGACAAACATGATCCGTTGGCAACTGGTGGATGTCGTCTGCAAAAAGTCCTTTTGGAAGTTCATTGGACAAACAATTCACTGCAGCTCTACCTCTGGCAATCACTGAGGATCAGGGGCTAACAGAATGGATTCCAGCTCCATCAGGATACAACAAGGAGGACGAAGAAGAAGTACCGACCACCGACTGCGCGGGGTCCACAGATACAGGAATGTGAGGATCATGGATCGGAATCTCTACCTCTGACATCGCCCCTTTTTCTCCCATCATGGCGCCACTTCCATCGTCCAATGGTTTCGCGGTCCGGTCTCCGGGGTCTCCGGGCATTGGTCACCGAGCCAATGGGACTGAAGCAACGGTGAAGGAACTCCTCGTCCTGCTTGGGTGGTTCGGGCCGCCCAGGGCGGCCCAGGGCCGCCCATAGAGAGGCCAAAGAGAGGGTGAAGTGAGAAATAGGACCCGTGACCTAAATCACATATAAACTTCTTCAACCACTGAACTGCTGGTGATTCTGCAGATGCCGGTTCCGTGCCGGCGACGGGTGGCATAGATATAGGGGGTCCAAAGGCAGCATTCCCCGAAGGCATTCCTCCAAGAAACATAGGTTCCCAAGGAAAGGAGCAATCCAAAAAAAGAGGTTTGGGGGAATGAGGACGTCCTTTTTGCGACGACTTTGGATGTTAGCTTTAAAAAGTGTGTGAGTGAAGAACTTGTCCAGAGGATAATACTCCCTAAAGTTCGCACAAGTGGAGGCCAAAAATCACTGCTTGAGGACGGCTCCATGATTCCAAAATGATCTTCCCCAAACCAAAACCCAACCCTCTCTCCAACCGCAAGTCATGCCCACAAAAAAACTGCACGGGCAGAAATCGCTTCAGCTGGGCATCCCTCACCATCCAGTGCTCCACATCGCCCACCCACAAGGTCCGACTGCTGCTCTCCTCGCAAGTCTTCCGCGCGGGTCAACTCTGCGAGGCGAGAGGGGGGAGACCTTCTTCCACTTGGAGACTCGGTCCAGGGGGTGGACTTAGGGCCCTGGCAGAGCTTGGGCTAGAGCGGAAAACTCTGGGAGGCCAAGGTTGACATTCCTCTACTCGATTGACCAACATCGCTCCCCATCCTTGGATGCCATCGCTCTTCCCCCTTCACCTGGGCGTCTTCGGCGTCTTCGGCGTCTTCGGCCAGATCCACGGAGTCGTGGGGATCGACGTCGGGGGCGGTGTGAGGTTCCTCTAGGAGGGGGTGATGTTGGCAATCCATCTGAAAGGCCCAAAGTCTCTGAAAGGCTGTTGCTTTCGGAAGAATATGGCCACCCTGTCAAAACCGGGACACCCTGTTTTTTTTCCCACCAAGAATCAACGGAACAAACCTACCTGGGAGGTCAACCTACCTTGGTTTGGGGCATCGGTCTTGCGCAGCATGTTCAGCGCTTCTTACGCGTCCCTTGCCCTCTGGGCGGGTGCGGAAAGAGTGGGGTAGTCGTGTTGTTGACTAACAAAACGGAAAGAAACCAGCGGTGAACGAAGTAAAAGCAGCAACTAGTTTACACAGACGGCACATCTAGAAGGGCCCTGTAGGAATGGACACCCCAGAAAAATCACGGTTAGCTCTCCCTGGACCTTCTTGTGGTACAAATAAATGTGTGCTTTTAAAGTTTTGGTACGCAAAACCACCATGTGGTACGCAAAATTTTTTGCAAGCTCAAAACCCGCACCTTTTTTTAAAAGCATCTTTTGTCACAGAAAAATCATGTTAAGAGAAGTTTGGCAAGACATGGTTCCAAATTCATGTGGAGCATGCTGCAGCCATCCCTTTGGGGTTGTTTTGCTTTGGCCCCAATGCCTGTGAAGCTCGACGAAGGACTGCTTACATGTATGCAAGCATGCGTGACTACATATGCAGCTTATTGTTAATATTAAGTGCTACATTGTGCAGGAGTGACATGGGGGCCAATTCTATCAGCCATAGAGGCGCTCAAGGCTATCTTCATTGGTAAAGAGGTTGGGTGTGGGCTGTAGTTTCCACAATGGCCATGCATGATGATCTTTGTCCTTTGGGAGGTCCATTGCATCATCCTGTGCCCCTGCTGTCAGTTGGTGTACTCATTGGATGTTCATGCATGGAGCCAGTTGGCGAGTACTCCTGCGTGGTATGTGCACAGCCTGGGCCCAAAGCTAGTTCTACAGTTTAGCATGGCACACTTTGAACAGGCATCTCTTCTTGCCACGGCGTGGGCCAACCACGATGTGGTTAGCACAATGGCCCTTCAGCACGCGTTGTGTGTGCTCCCGGTGAAGACCAAACAAAGTGTGGGGAAAAGGCACATGACCATTTCCCGTGGTGACTTGCTTGGAAGTTGCTCATGTTGAAATCATGTTGAAGTCATGCATGACACCCCACACATGGACGCCACTTTTGTGAGACCCTTGAATCTGAGGCGACCTGAAGACAAACGCTGAGGTGGTTGGACTGGCCTGCAAGTATGTTGGCATGCGGCCAAGCTTGGCGATGATGGAACAGGCAACTCATATGTTTTTCAGCTTGGCCTTGCCAAAGAAGCTGGAACTGTGCAGTAACTTGGCAGTCATGCATGGTTTGTAGATGTATGTGCTTAACATGCATGTGTTAACTATACACGAATGATTGTATGATGTCGATGCTAGAATGTAAGGCACGCGCACAAGACTCCATGCAAAAGTGGCCATGCGCTTTGTCTTCGCCTTTTCTCGCTTGGTGAAGTGCCTTTGATGAAGGGGAGCATACTTCTAATCATGCTGTGTCTATTGAAAAGCTTGAAAGGCAAGGCCATGCACCGAGATCCTCAAGAATCCGGCTCATCTATGAGCTAGCCGACATCCCGGTGCCTGGAGCAGGCCATTGCAATATGGAGGTCGCCGGCTCGCTTTAATTTGAATATGTGTTTGTGAGGCGTTGAAGACTCTGAAAGCAGCGGTTCTTCAACGATCTCTGATTCGGTGGCTTGGTTTGTCAGGCGTGAAGCAGGTACTGAACACATGCATGCATGACATTATTCAATTCAGGAAGCTGAGACAACAACGACCGCCTCGACAATCCGAACAAGTGTGGTGGCTGGCGGTGATCCAAAGTTGGTGAGTCCACCATCCGCAGAAACCGTGAAGTCGAGCGTTCCGATTACTCCAACAGAGCTTGAAAGTTCAGTTCACTCAGGCCCAAACCTCATGCATGTAAGCTTTCGTGAATATGCACGCATGCATTTACATGGTAGGCGGGACACCCTCGGTGTTTGTGGCTGCACCTCCTGCAAAAGAGGAGGAAGATCCTCGTTGGGGCCTTGCTTTTTCCCTCACACTGTTTCATGTCAATACTGCATATGTAAATGAGGCCTGGAGATGTTGAAAGAACTGGAGGAGATGGAGAAGCTTATGCTAAAGCAGCTCACTTTGCAAGAGCCAAGGCCATGCATGTGTGCAAAAACTTGAAGCACTACGAGGTATTCATGTCTTAGCCGTGGCAGGCCGATCACTATGCATCGTGAAGTTGGTCCACCTGCTGTCAGTACGGGGCTTGAAGATTTGAAAGTATTTGAAGCACACTAAAATGATGCGTACTAAGACCTAGACAACGTGGAGACACAGCTATGCGCTGATGGTTTGGAATCGGCCGCTCCAGCTGCCTTGCAAACCCATGAGCAGTTGCCCAATGATAAGTTTGATGGGTTGATGATGGGCCCTGATGCTGAAATGGAGCATGAAGAACCACTCCCGCCAGCTTTTGGTGATGCAGGCGTGAAGCCAAAAAACCTTTTGGCCTCCTTTGAGGAAGTCGCAAAGGCTCCAGCTGAGCCTTCTAATGGTGTGCCACCTTCATCTCCGGCATGGACCCCTTGCAAGAACGATGCGTACATCCTGGACTTGGAAGAACCGGAGGTTGCTGTCCTTGAGGAGGCATGCATGGGACTGTCTTCTTGAATTTAACTACATGTTGTCACACGTAGACATGCACATGTGCGCTATCTTACATAAATGGGCCATTGTTCAGGATGATGACTGCGATTCTGACTCAGATGTGGAGTTGATACCTCCGGAGGACAGTTAGCATTGCATGTATTTGTGCATTCATGATTGATTTGCAGCCCCTGCAGGAATGCACACCGTTCTATGACCCGGAGGAATTCTTGATGTATGAACTGCACGAACCAAAATTATCTGCGAAAGCTGCTGTTCCTTGACTTGGCGCAAATCCATTCATGCTATCTCCCAAATCACGGAAGAACTCACGCATGTTCACGTGCATACATACTTCATATCATGAGCTTACCAAGGCCAGTGTCGCACCGGAGGAATGCCGGGCTCTTTTGGAAGAGTCGGCTGAGGCAGCTCGAGAAGCTATGGAACCAGCTAAGAAGGGTAGAAAACCCAAAGCCAAAGCCAAGCCTCAGGAGAAGACCAAGCCGCAGCCCAAGAAAAAGAGCAATGCAGGTAAAGCCAGGGCCTCAAAAGCAAAGGCCAAAGCAGCACCCAAGAGGAAGGTGGACAAGGGCAAAGGTAAGCCAGGCAAGAAAGGTGCTGACAGTAAAGCCCGTACCCTGAACTCCTTGAAGGCATCAGCGTACCACAAGGCTAGAAAGGAGAAGCTGCTGGCTGGATGCACTGATGAGGAAGCCAAGGCTGCAGGTCGAGCAGCCGGGATCTTGGACTTGTGGTCGCATTTGCGCTGAGTCATGCTTGCAGGCACCCACGTTTCTATCTTCACATGAGGCCTCAGCTTTGATTGTGGCCGTGCCATGTCTTGACCTTATCATGCATGCACGTATGTTCAAATTCCAATGTGACTTTTTGCAACAACACCTAGGCTGACGCCCTTGAAATGATTGGGCATGAGGGGTTGGCTTCGTGTGAAGCCGTGATCTTGGGGAATCCAAGCCATATGGGTTGGAGTTGAGCAATTAGCAAAGTGATGAACACTTTGGTGGAACGCCGTGTGAGTCTGAAAAACTGATGTCTTTGTTTTTGAATCTGCACACATGGTTGTGGCGAGTTTTCATGCATGATTATTTCTCAAGCGTCTTCCTGCATTGAGTGAACAATGCTGCAGGGTTTTCCAGCCGTCCAAATGTGGTGATGGGCAATTGCATGGCAAGTCGGTTCCTTGCTAGCGCTTATGGTAATACTTTTTGCTGAGCAATGCATTCAGGGTAAATTGTTATGCGCGTTGACATTCATGGCCTGAGGTTGGTGCTGCTCTTTTTGATGGTTCTCTCAGTTCATGGAATATTCATTGTAGAGCAGCCTCGGGGCTCCATCCTATTTGAATATTATAGGTGGCAGTGGCTTCAGGAGGTTGTAGCCTTTGTTACTCAGATTGCATTTAATAAAAGAAATGAATACATGCATATGAGTGATGACTGGCCTGCAGGGTCTGCGTGCATGATCGTGTCACGAATGTGTCAGGTCCACATGGCTTCATGGTGGATGATGGCCTACGGGGCACCATCACCTAAAAGGCTGCAGGCGAGAAGCAACTGGCCTCTTATTGCAAATCTTGACACAGGCAAGCTGGCCAAATCCGAGATGCAAAGGAAAACCAAAGTAAAGACAACACGTCAGGGCCTCATTACGCACACGCTCATGGAATCAAATGTACATGTGTATATGTCAAGGTCGGACTGGCAAAACTTGGTCTGGAACGTCAGCTTTGAAGAGCACACAGTACCTTCGATGTGTATTTAACATGCCTGCCCGGCCTGCCCATGATGACTTCTAACAGCACTGTTGGCTGCCTAGTTAGGCAGTATCCACCAAAGTTTGGAACCCGCCTGCTGGAGATATGGCTGAATGCTGAAGAGGGTGCCATGCTGTCTTTGAGGACATATGATGTTTCTGTTTCATGATCATTGGCTATAGCCATGCTCTTTGCAGGAGAAAGATTGCTACAGACCCTGGTCTGACAGACCGAGAGCAGTTCAAGAGGATGGAGCTAGGAGATGTTTGGCATGATGCTGAACTTATCTCGGTTTGGACCTACATATACAATCACAGCAAAACTGTGATCCCGGAATCTTGGGAGCCAACGATGGCCCAGTTCAATAAAGAACTGATGGCGCAACTTCCCGATCCAGCGCAGGTGGAGGAGTACAACTCTCTAATTCGGGCAGCGTAGAGCACGCC